AAAAAAAAAACAAGGCAGCAATAATAAGCAAAATTTTATTGAGAAATAACTCATAGTAAAACCTTTACCCTACCTGCAAACCTATTTCCCTTGTCTTTAATTGGACAGAGACAGCATTAGCATCATCGGGGACTGCATGTGCAAGTGAATTTCTGGCAACTTAGGATCCAAAACGCACCTATGGGGACACATATGCAACTTTTACATCCTGTATAACAAAGGTTTTTCTTCCTATATCTATACATATAATTTGAGTAAAGAAGCCTTCATCTCGATGAAAACACAATTGCTGATTTATTGTGGTATCAGAGCTTGGTCTCTTTTGATCAAGCTTAACCGCTTTGAGTAAAGATCATGGCAACCATAAAAGTTTCTTTTTTAGAAGGACAATCTATTGATAGACCACCTATGTTTAATGGTTCTCATTTTAGCATGTGGAAACAAAGAATGATGATTTTCTTACAATCCGTTTATATTGAATTATGGTATGTGGTAGAAGATGGTCCTTATGAAACTAGAATAGTTGACTCTACCACCAATTTGAGTAGATTAAAGACTAGACAAGAATTGAATGAAAAAGACAAGAGATACCTTTCTTTGAATGCCAAGGCCATGTGTATATTGTACAATGCATTAGATGTAAATGAATCTAGTAGGATTAAAGGTTGTAAATCAGCTAAAGATATTTGGGATAAATTGTGTGTATTTCATGAAGGTAACCAAGATATTAAAGAACAAAAGAAATCTTTGCTTGTTTCTCAATATGAATTTTTCAAAATGCATCCTCTTGAAAATGTTGATGAGATGTGTAGTAGATTTTGTGACATTATTGAAGATCTTAAATTGCTTGGAAAAGAATATTCTTTGGGTGAGAAAAATAGAAAGATTTTGAATGCCTTGCCAAAAGAATGGGAAAACAAAATAAATGCTATAGAAGAGGCAAAGGATTTAAATTCTATGTCCATTGAATCTCTTGTGGATACCCTAACCTCTTATGAATTAAAGCTGAAATTCAAAGTGCAAGAGGAAGAAAATGCAAGAATGTATAAGAGAGGCATAGCTTTTAAAGCATCTCAAGTGGGGGATAACCCATCCTTCATGGGTAATGAAATCATGGAAGTGGACAATGATATAACTCCTCACATCAAAAGTTTCAAGAAGATCTTCAACAAGAGATGTTCAAGAGGAGATTGCAAAATTACATGGGATGAATGCAATTCAAAAAGAGAAAAAGAAGAGTTGGCCCAAATGGCACTAATGGCCGTTGGAGAAGATGAGGTAAGTTCTTATCACTCTTCTTGTGATGAAGATAATGAAGATGATGATGTGAAAATTCTTATGATTAAAATGCATAAAAGTTTGAGAAAATCTTATGCTAAAAATAAAGATTTGAAAACAAAAATAAATGATTTGTTGGAAGAAAACTCCAAACTTTTTCAAGAAAACAAATGTTTGAGAATGGAAAATGATGATTTAAAAAATCAAAAAAGTGTTTTTGATTGCAAAAATAATTTGAAAAGGAAGTTGGAAGAGAAAACAAAGTTTTATGAAAAAATGTTGGAGGAACAAAATGTGTTAAAGAAAAGAATTAATGACTTGAACGAGTTTCTCCAAAATGAAAAACAAACGTTTTCTCAAACAAAAGAAAGCAAATCTTTTCAAGGTACAAATAAGTTTGCTATGATAAGAAGTAAGAAAATTAGTTGCATTAAATCCACCTATGTGCAAAATACTTCTATCATGTGTCACTTTTGTTGCCAATTTGGACATATGCAAAATGATTGCTATGTAAAGAAAAATATGAGAAAAGGTATGAAATCCATGTGGATTGCTAGATCATGTTGTACTAACTCCCAAGAACCCTATAAAAAATTACAATTGGTATCATGAAAGTTTTGTCATTCTATATGGTCTTGATTTGGAAAATAAAGGGGGAGTTTGCTTTTTGATTGATGTCAAAAGGGGGAGTAGGATTTATTGAAATTTCTTTGTATGTTGGCATTTTCTAAGGGGGAGTTTTATTTGAACTTATTTGATCAAAGAAATCTTCATTTTGTTTGTCATCATCAAAAAGGGGGAGATTGTTGACCTTGGTCGATCAATCCTTGGTTTTGATGATTAACAAACTAAAATGTAGATTTGGGCTAATGTTTTTATGTGAGCAATTTGTTAGAACAGATTCTTGTGGCACAAAAGAAGAAGCAAAAACAGGGCACTCATGTGGGACGTCCGAAAGGAAGCTATCGGACGTCCGAAAGGATGAAGAACATCAAGAAGGAAACTCTGTCGGACGCTCGTGAGGAAGCATCGGACGTCCGGAAGGATCGGACGCACGCATCGGACGCACATCGATCGCATCGGACGTCCGAGAAATTTCGCAAAGATTTGATGACTCTCTGACGACGTTCGGACGCAGGGTTCGGACGTCCGACAGGTGGTTTGGACGCAGGGTTCGGACGTCCGACAGGTGGTTCGGACGTCCGACAGGCCAACGGCTAGTTTTGACAGCATTTAATATTTGACCGTTAGAGAGCCTTTTGAAGCCATTTCTCACCTTCTATAAATACCCCAAAGCACAAGAAGACAAGAGATTTTTTGCCAACACAAAATACAAGCTTACAAGTGAGATTTTTGAGTAGAAAGATTCTTTGTTGGTTGTATAAGGGGTTGGGAAAGTTGGGTTGTGAGGTTGCTCAAGTGAAGGTTACTCTCTAGGTGGAGTAAAACCTTGGTGAAGGTGAACCTATCACTTGGAGTGGTAAAACCTTGGTGAAGGTTGCCTCATTTGTATAAAATAGTTCTTATTTGGGTGAGTGATCTTTCAAGTGTAGGTTGTTGAGGGTTAACTAGAATAGTTGTAAAACTCCTTGGCTCAACCAAAGTGTGTTTGGGGTGAGGAAGGAGTGAGCCTTCACTTGTACGTCTTGGTTAGCATCGCCATCTATTGAAGAGGCTATTGGATTGATATTTGGTTTGCATTTCTCATCTTTTCTCTTTAATTAAGTTTTCTTTATTGTGCTTAAATTTGATATATCTTTGTGCATCATTGTGAAATTGTTTGTACTCATTGGGTTGCACCAGGCCTAACATATTGTAAAAGGATAACTAGCTGATTTGCAGTCTAACCAAATTTGGTAATAGGAAAAATAAAATGGATATGGAAACAGCACCAAATAGAGTGTAATCCTCCATTCGTGCAAGTAAAGCAGCCACTCAACATTCCCCCCTTCAACTACCGTAAGTTCTTTCATCCACCCTTTTTGGTTCCTCGTCTAACACCCCCTCCCCTGAACTCACTGTCGAAAGAAGGCCTATTTTGTCTCTTTCTCTCCAAACAGCCATACACAATATCGATTGTAACCGTAACAACCAAGACCAATAAACATCATTAGTATATCAGAAGCCATAGACGACAAAGTGTAAACCATAAAGACACTCACATACGTCGTAAAGAAGCATTCATTCATCTCCAGAATGTTCAAATTGGTTCATGGAGTAAATTGGTCTAATGGTCGGCAAAACATCTAAAAGTCTCTTTCAATTTTTCCTCGGACTTAACAATATTGGTTCGCAACAACAGACTTGGGCAATGCATTCAAAGTGGTGCATTTAATTTTTTCAAAATTAAATAATTTTTCATAAATAAAAATGAGCTAAGAACTAGCTTGTGAAGGAAATCGATGTTACAAATACTGCTGTTAATTGATATGAAACAATTTACATATGTTTCAGGGAGGAAAATTTTGCTCCGACAAGTTACCGAACCCTAACTGATGACAAAAAAGGACTCGGGCACTATACAATGTATTCGCTTCTTAACATAAAGCCAAACTGGAATGGATCAGCACAAAATTGAAAGAAAAAATCCCATGCTTGGTTGGCAGATTGGGGAAACGTACCTTGAGGCAAAAAATTTGGAAGGCTTAAATAAGAGTTAGGCGATGAAGGTCGGCGCCGGGAAAAACCGTTGAGCGATGCTGAACCTTAATCGAAGCCAAAGTTGAGGGATACTTTAGATCCGTTCTTCTTGTAAGTGTCACAACTTGCTGGTTACTTCCCTGACAGAATAATTACAAAACCCACGTCTGAGAAAGTGCTATGTCAGTGAGAGGTTGGGGGTGATGAAGAGAGGGAGTAAAGAAGAAAACAGAGAGAGGCTAGGCTTATTTGTCGGTTTCTCCCTGACGCAATACAACGGTCTGAAAAATGTATTGGTGTTTTACTGTTTTGGGATTGAAAAGTTGGGATGATTTATTTGGTCAAGAAAAGTCAATCATCATTTTGATTTTACTGTTCCAAAATATAAAAAACTAAATATTATCAGTCCAAACACAACCTTAGTTTTCCAAGTTTTGGCCAGCGCATTGGTATGATTGTCAAGTTAACTTGCTTCTTGTCGATAGAGTGCTGCTCGTAGGGGTTAAAAATTGCGGGAGGTCAGAGAGGTTTTTTGTCAATGGCCATGGAAGAATTGTGAGCAATTGAGGGCGCAAGACACTCCGCCTTTTCTTTACTCCTCTGGATAACAATGAATAGATTTTAAAACTTGAACAGTGACTGGCCCATAGCCGTTGATTGAATCCTTTTTTTTTGTCGTAATGGCACATCTAGTCTAACCTAACATACTCCTACTCCTGTCGGGGGGAACCTACTCTATGGGGTAACCCAACTGAGTTGGGGGAATCTGACGGGAACTGAACCACATCAGACCAGACGGGTGCATCACACACTCGTATGGATTTAAAACAAACCTCATATTGAGGCATATTAATGGGAGATAAGGTTTGAACTCTTAACCTCCCATCCCACAATTAACTTGCAAACTTAGGATGTGAAAAATTCACATGTTTGTTCACATGAACCCTTACTCCAATAAAATTGATACGGCAGAGTTGGTGGGGTACTTTAAAAGCCCATAGTTGTTAAAATCAAATGTTTGGTTTTGGCATGTCCAAACAAAGTTTTGAAAACTTTATTTTCAGAGCTAAATTAGGCAAACCAAATATCCATTCCAAACAAATTCACTTTTTCTTCTAATCCACAAAAGCGTACTTCTCAACAAGGGTTCGATTCGCGCCTTCAAGAAACTAAGCCTCCTACCATCACGTCTTCTCCCCATCTTTGCCTTGTTCTGAGCTTCCATTTTTACCGGTTCACCATGACAAATCGATTACACGAAGAGGAGGAGGATGAAGACCCGGTGAGATAGTCCTTTAATCTCCACCACCTCCGCACACTCTTATCTCTGGTCTTAACCCTCCTCCTGCAGACCCCTCCGACTCCATTTCTTCCCTGATAACTCCCCGCCATCGTGTATCAACCTATTTTCCCACTTCCTATCTTCCCCCGGAATGCAGTCCGTAAGTCCTTTAATCTCATTTCCTAAATTTAAATTTAAATGCAGTAATTTTAGATTTAATTTTATCATTTTATGTAGATGAGAAATTGCTGTGGAATTTTTAAATTTTGCATTTATTTATATAATTTTGAAATCAAAATCAGGTGTTGATAGCAGCAGAGGAATCGCATGTTCTCCTCAGAATATTAAACAATAGCTTCCAAACCCTAGACTCGGTAAAAGACAGCATTTCTCACATTTTTGCTATTTTTTTCTGCTCCATATCCTTTGACATTGGCGTAATTGATGCAAGGTAATATCAAACTTACATGGATTTTAGTTGTATATTTGCCTTTTTTGTGTTCATGTGAAGTTCTGTTGAATAAGGAATTTTAATATGTGGTATAGGTACAGAGGGTTGGATGAGGTAAAAACAAGTTGTAATCAAAATCAATGTGAGTTAAGTGAAAAGGAGCCTTGTGATGGTAATAAAGGGCAGTGTTCCAGTGCGGTTTTTAACGTTTTAGATACAATGTTAAAGGACAGTTTAGATCGCTTGAAAACAATGTGGTCAGTGGTTTTTTATTTTCTGAAGTCGGGAACTTCTTGTCATGTTGAATTCAGAGTTTCAGTTCTTTTATATTGTTTTGTAAATATTTAATGGGTACTGCTTGCTGATTTGGCTGTTCTTTCAGTATGTTTTTTATGATATTTAATATGGAGGTGAATGCATTGTATAGAGGATATCTTAGCCGTGTTAATGGTGCCATATAATGTAGCTTTACTATTTCAAGATGTGTGTAGAAGGATTTTCCAGGGAGCGGTAGAGAGAGTTATACATACATGTTTCGCTTGGAGAACAGAGGAGTACTTGCAAACATAAGAAGTTACAGAAGAAAACTTTGTGTTTTTTCTTCCAAAAGTTTCAGATTTTAAATTAGCTTTTTGGATACCAGTTAATGGTAGTTGCTCATTTGCCTAAATGTCTATCTGATACTGATTGTTGTTACCAACAGCTTGTATTAAGTTGCTTGTGTCTTCTCCACATACATCTTCATTTATGTTCTTTGAATATTCTTAGGAAAATCAGTCAAAATGAAGTACCTTCCTTACAGGATAGAAGATAATCAATACTTCGTTTCTTACAGGATAGAAGATAGACAAAGCATTAATGTGTATGGTATCTCTATTACTCTGATTTCTGGCTTCTGGTGTTCAACAATTTAGCAACTTTAATAGATTGTCATCCATGCTTCTATTTCTTTTTAGGCAATTATAAAATGTTGTTGCTGTGATGTTTAGTCAGAGGTAACTGGGATCCTGTTCTCTCTCTTCCGCTGTCTGTATCAGTTTACTTTAGCTGTTGTAATTATCTGCTACTTTAGGCAAATGTCCCCTTGAATACTTTACTAGTGACCTTTGAAATATAGTTTCTGAAGTGGCAGTGGTTGCCCTTTTTTAGTTTTTAATGTCTCCTCTCTTGGTAGCTTTTGTTGTTCTTTCAAAGGTGATTCTAAATTGTACTTTTGTTTTGCCAAATTGTATCAGGTTCCCTGTTTCAGTTTATGGAAGTGAATTATGCAATACTTGTTTGGAGTAATATTGAGCTTATAGTTTCTGTGTGTATGCCTTCTGCAACTGATGTTCCATAAGTTCCGCAGGCAAAGCATATCATGGGATGCTATAGGCAGTGAATGCTGTGACTTTGAAGTGAAATATAATCGAGATATAACTATAATTAGTGCTTTATGCTTGGAGGGTAATTTGGGGGTAGCTCTATCTCTTTGGTATATGATGATACAGAAAAGTGTTATTCCTGATATTATCACCCACAATTATCTAATAAACTGCTTCTGCAAAACTGGTAACTTGGATAAGGCAGAGTGGCTTATCAAAGAGGTTATTTAGGGTTCCTCCTCCCAATTGTGCAACTTACAACACTTTAATAAAGGGTTATTGTATTCAGAATGGTATTGAAAGGGCTTTAAATCTGTTTTCAACAATGGCCAACAGTGGTATTATCCCAAACAGAGTTACCTGTAACATTACTGTACATGCTCTTTGTAAGAAAGGTCTGCTGGAGGATTCAAGAAAGCTTCTTATGGAAATATTAGGTGATACTCACCGTAAGGACACATCGAATTTGATAACATCGACTATATTAATGGGTGGGTCCTTTAACAATGGACATATAAATCAGGCTCTCACTTATTTGGATGGCATTTTTTGCGGGAGTCTCCCAGTTGATGCTGTTGCCTACAATGTTGTCATTCATGGATTCTGTTTGATCAGAGATATATCCATTGCTTATAAATATGTCTGCAAAATGTTTACGTGTGGTTTTCTTCCTGATATATTTTCTTCCAATACTCTTATTGGTGCTTTCTGTAAGGAAGGATGGACCACTGAGGCTTGTTATATCTACAATATTATGTCCAAAATGGGTGTTTGTCCTGATCAAATCTCTTACAAGATGATTATACAAGGGCTATGTTTTCATGACGATGCAACAAAAGCTAATCTGTTTCTTCATGCTATTTTAGATAACTCATTTTGCCTGAACCTCTCATTTGGAATGTCATAATTGATGGTTATGGGAGGTGTGGTAATATGCAAAAGGCATTATACATCAGGAATCAAATGGTTGCCTTTGGATTAATGCCAAACACATTTACTTATAATGCCTTGATCCATGCACAGATAAAAGGTGGAAATATCGTTGAGGCACTTTCTTTGAAGAAGGAGATGCTTCTAAATGGTTATTTTCCAGGCTTAATTACGTACAATCTCTTGTTGGGTGCCTCTTGCATTCTTGGTAACATTCATTCAGTGCTGCAGCTATATGATGAAATAATAAGAGGAGGTTATTACCCAGACACAATAACATACACTGAGCCAATTAAGTTTTACTGTATACAAGGTTATACAGAGAAGGCAGAAGAACTCTTGGAAAAGTTACAGGCTTTGGATTTACAGGTTGACCATGTTCCATATCTGATACTCATGAAAAAGTATTGCAAGATGAGGGAGCTAGACAAAGCATTTGAACTTTATCAGAAGTGGTTATTCAGAAAGAGTTGAGAATACCTTTAGTATTGATCAATTGGTACTCTGGGCTGCAAAAATTTTTCTGATCAATACAGCTCCCTGCTGGCAGTACAGTTCATGCATTACATTAATTCATTATCTGTTCAAAGGAAGGATGGTTGATATCTTCTGCAAGTTGATGATCTCCACTTGAAGGTTTGTGCTTTGTGACCTCTCCTTATATTTCTGATATTTAAGATACCTCCTCTTCCATAATCTTTCATTTTAGTGCATTTGCACTTGATTTTCTCATAAAATTTGATAAGTTTTTAGTTGTATTGTTGACTGAGTATAAATTATTATCGGTTTCTTTTGGACTCATAAAATAACTTTGATTGCAGCTTCTGAATTTCAAGTTCCTTGACTCATATGCTTGCCTCTTATAGAAGTTGAAAGTTACTATAAACTGATTTTCTGTTATTTCATCTTCCAATAAAATATAGTAACTGATTTTCTGTTATTTCATCTTCCAATAAAATATACATAAAATAAAAAATTAAATCATAGGCCCTTTCGGTTTTCTAAATGAGGTTGAAATGCCTTTGCTAACATATTTTTGTGCAGTTTTTTGTGTGGAATTCTGTTTGAATTCCAAATTTCCAAAGTTATAAATTCAATATTTAGTGCTTCAAAGGTGTGGCACTATGACAAAATTTGTTAGTCGAAATAACATTGCTGTTTCAAATAGTTGAAGTTTGTTTTTGACATGAAGAAATAGTTTTTTCCATGAACACAAGTGAAAAATAAACCAAAACAGAAGAAATTTCTTTCAACTGAAAAAGAAATTCATGCAAGTACAAATAATGTCTTTGATGAGTATAATGGCACTTAGTGGAATTAGAAAATTGGTTGCCAACTTGGAGTTACTGATGCAAAAACTTTCTGATGTGGAAGATCATTATTGGTTTAGTCCATCAGTTTCAATGCACAACAGTAATATGGATATTTGTTGAATAGAATTTACCATGAGTATGATTGAGTTATTCTTTTGAAGTCAGCCAACAGAGCTATTTGTGAATTTTGTCTTTAAATGGGTTAAGGCTGGAATTTAATGGAATTAGAAATCGGTTGCTGACTTAGAGTTATTGGTGTAAAATCTTTCTGATGCCGAAGATCGTTGTTGGCTTAGTTCATAAGTTGCCATTTGGAATATATATTATCAATGTTATTGAACAATATACATTATTGATAGAAGGCATTTACTCATTTTAAATCAAAGAATCAGATCCTATCAACTGGTAATGTTTTAGGTACTAATAGGAGATAGGGTTAGACATACCTAGACTACTTTGGTCCTTGAATTGTCAGAATGTAATTGTGGACTTTTTAGTTGCCTTCAGGCATTGTATGAAGCTAATCGGAGAGACTAGCAGTTCTGTATTGCACCTTTGTGTGATTTCTCCATGTGGTCCAGTAGTGTTTAATCTGAATTTTCTTGACCACTTTTCTATTTGTATTGGTGAAGTTGGAGGTGTAGGATTCTGAAGATTTTGTTTTTGATGTAAATAATGATATATTGTGATAATTTCTTGCAAAATATTGCACAAGAAAGTAATTGATTTAGTAAAGAATGCATTTTTTGTAGTTTTTCTTGTCATGAATTTGAAGTCAGATACTTCATTTACATAAATTGAATATTTTTGAATAATTTCCACCATTGCAGATAGAGGTTCAATTATAAACCAGTAATAAATGGGCTGAATGACAAAACGGATGAGAAAGTTATAGTGCGAGAACTAATATTTAATCATTAAAGGCTTTTACTATCCATCCATTTTGCTTCTTTTTTCTTTCCTTGCTCCCCTTTATATTTAGCTATCTTAGCAGATGAAATATCTCCTATTCCCCTCCTATCTTTTTGTTACGGCTTATTTGGTGTTAACTTCCTCTTGTAATTTAATGTTATTCCACAAAACCATTTCTAAATTAGTTTTCAAATTATCCACATCCTCTTTATTCTCCCCATAACCTCCAATAGAACAAACTCCTTCGAGGAAGGAAAAGAATTTCCTGTAAAAAAAAAGAACATTTCACATCTATTTTATTGATTAAGGGTTCACACAGAGTTTGTCAGTACCATAGTTGGAATTTAGTACCCAGTTTCTTTTGATGCATCTGTCAGTCCATTGACTTGCGTTACATATATAGCTTTTTGAACATATTCTAGATAGCTAGACATTTTTGTTCATGGATCCAAATATGCACACTCTTCAAAGACAATTAGTCTTCCAGCTTTTCTTTGGGCGTCTGAGTTGCTAATTAAAGATGAACTAGAGCTGAAACCTGTAATTAACTCATTTTCATCTGAGAATAAGTGAAATTTGTACAGGATGGTGGATGAGATTAAAGCAAAGAAATGTAGAAGCAATCACATGTCATAGTAAAGAAAAATGAGATATGGTTTTCATTGATCAGGTGTTTTGATACCAGTTATATGCTTATCCTTCCTAAGGATTTTGATTGATTAATCAAAAGTTGATGGATTGAATTAGCTGAACTGCACGGATTCAAAACAAAGTGGATTCTCAGACAATGATAAGTCGTAAAGAACCAATGGTTAACCAGGTTATGTATACTATTTGTATCACATCTACTAGATTTACTTTATCTTTTGTTCATGGATGATTAACAAGACAGCAATAACATTGTTGGTAATCGTGCTAGCCACCATGTGATTGTGGGTTAAAAGTGAAGCCATCCTTTTTGTAATTTTCTCGTTTGCTTGTGTACCCATTACATTTGTGCTAACCAACCTTGTAAACCACTGGTGAATGGATATTGAAAACTTATTTATGAGATCTTCCATATGATTGAGCTGCTCAGGTTCTTTATATTCTATTTTCTGCAGATATGCCCCCCCTCCCCCCAAAGAAAAAGCCCTTTAGAAGTTGTGTATAAATTAGCTGGTGCCTGTGGTATATGGTTGGATGCCCCTTTTCATGGAGTTACTTTGGTTATTTATCATGATTTCCTCATAGTTCTTGCTCGGTCTTAAGATGTCATTGACTCTGGCACAGTGTCCTAGTCATTGAAAATTTGCTGAATTTGGCTTCATAGCTACAGCTTTGTAGTTTTTGGTGGCTGTGTTGCATGGCAATTGCCCACTAGTGGGACATTGATATTGTAACTAGATTTAATTCCCTAAGAAGTATTGTCATATCACTATCATGTCATCATCATCTTGAGGCACTTGTCATTTGTTCTTGGGAAGTTGTTGTATCTGTCTTTGGCACCTAGACAGCCTGTGGCTCTCTCGCTCAATGATGCAGGAAAAATTTTAAATGTGGCAATAGGAAATAATCCTCACACGAGATAATTCTTTGGTCTTTTTAGGTTAAGTTTCCATTTTCCCTTATATTTCAGTTGTTCCTTGAGGGTGTTATTATTATTTTTTTTCACATTTTCATATCTATTTAGCTTTAGTTGCCTTTAGCATGCTTAATTATCTCTCTGTACTCTTTAGTGCTAATGTTGTTTTCCCGGGCAGCTATATTGTTAACACCAGGTAGAGTGCAGTTAGATAGTGAATCAGTAAACTCAGGTAATTCTGTTGATATTTTGAGTGTCTATACAAGCAGTTTCATGCTTGCATCTGTTATAGCTTCTTACATTTTATCATGGAAAAAATCGTTGCTTAATTGTGGAATGGCTGTATTTTCATACTCAGGCAGCCTGACTTTCACCTTTAGACTATAGTCCCTGGGAGAAGCTGACCAGGAAACACATGCCACGTTTGATTAAAGGAGACTATTGATGGCCTTAGGTGTTGTTCTGTCAACCATCTGTTTAGAATTTTATGGTAGACTGTCTTTTCACTATTAATAGCAATCTTCCCCTTTTCTTTCTCTTTTGGAGCTATTATCTCAATTTGTATGTCTTTGCTGACGTTTGTAGGAACGTACAGAGATTTCATTATACAGATTCAAACTTTGCCAGTTGTCCTCAAGCTCAAGGAGATAATCCATCCAGGGCTGTGAATCTCCTTTTCAGCCACACCAGCTTTACGGTTGTATATATATCTCTTGGTTTCACTGGAATGTATAATTACCTGAGTTTACGTTCTTCTGTCTCTGTGTTTTACTACTCAATAAGGAAATGTCATGGAGCCATTTATGTTGTGCATGAATATGCAAGGTGGTGCACCACATTGATCTTTTTAGTTTATCAAGAATAAACTTAATTGTACTAATTATGGGTAGGATGGAAAACTTTTATAAAGCAATTTTTCTTTGTTAGTGGTTTATACCGTCCACTTACCAGAAGAGATCATTTTGGAAGTTGCATTAAGATTTAAGTTTTCATGGCTTACCTGGGGCATCACTAGGATTTTGATCCATGTAAAGATGTAGGATTAGTTTGCATACATTTATGTTATAATCCACTGTTGCAATCATCAAAATGCCAAGGGTTTGGAGTTGCACTCAGACGTAGCTCAACAAAAATGTATGGATTGTTCTAACATCAATTGTTTCAAGTCTGATCTACTTAGATCTGAAACTTATTGGTTGCAGTTAATGAATTTCATTCCATTTGGTCAAGAATATAATAGGGATGGTGACTGGCTGGCACTCATCCTTTCAGGCTCATGGAAGCCTGAACTTGGTCGGACGCTTGTCTACCTAAGCCCCTCCTGAATCCCATTGTGTGTATAATCACCACCAAATTAGCTCAGCTTAGTGGCTACGTCTAGCAACCTGCCAATTTTCCCGCTCAAGCAAAGTGTCTAGCAAATCTGCTGATTTTCATTATGCTAATGCACAATTTTTACAGTCTTATTGTTAGAATAAGAATGGTTGGTTTTGGTTGAAATGTGACATACTATATCATTTGGGAGACATAAGGACATAAACAAAAACAATGAATTCAACTTTGCAACTAATACACTGGCAGAATTAGTTCCCTGTGCATACTTATGCGATGCATCAGTAGAAGAAAAGTTCCTAATATTGTACTGAAGATTCTTTAGGAGTAGACAGCAATGGGGATTTTTTGTCTGTAATATATGCTGAACAAAAGAAAGTTGTTAAATTCATGAAAGATGGTGAGTTGTTCTAGTTCATAAAAAGTTTGAGTTGTGATAGAATAATGGTATCTGCTGTTAAGTATCTAGTGCATGAAAAGCTGACTTGTAGCTGAAAAGGAAGGAATCAGATACTAGTAGTTTTATCGCCGAAGGCATCCTAAAGCCTGTTGTGTGCTGAAAATATGTTATTTTAATGGATCTAGTTGTGATGGGGATCATACTAGGACTTACACTTTCATCATAAATTCTTCCTTTCCTTTAATATACATGGTTGCTTGTGCTATTAGAGTGGTAGTTTGTGGTATTTGTTATCCGTCGGAGCTTAAGAATTTTTATGCTTCTTTTTTCCCAATGTAATTTTAGATACTGCTACCTTCAAAATTTGAATGTTCTATCAGGCATGCTTCAAAGATCTCTTCTGTCTGATTACCTTACTCATGGTTTTACAGGAGGAAATCTCTTTTTGAGCATCTTTGTAATGTTGACTGCACAGATATTGTTCAGGTAACTTACCTTAACCAGGCACTTATCCCTCAACAGTACTATTGTTTTCCTGGTCATCGTATCTGCTGATTTGGATTTTGGAACATATCAGATTTTGGCTTAATTTTGCAGGTTTGGCCTAGTTCTTCCAATATGTCTGTGGCGTGCCTCATGAAACTCAGTTTTACCTGTCAAGAGCAGTGGACAATGGGTATCACTGATTGCTTGGCTGTTGGGGATGAGTTGGTTTTATGAATTGCATCTTATTGTATTCTACATGTTAGAGATCAATCACCGCAATTGCTTTTCACTGGGTCTGTACATCCATCATATTCGTGCTGCTTCTGCTACTGAAGCTGATGAGCATTCTTAACGTTTTTGGTGGTGATTCGTGGTTAGGATTTTACTGTGGCACCATGTACAGAGTGACCATTCCTTTTCTCATAAAAATTTAGTGCTCATTCAACTGCAGGTATTCTACATGTCATTATGGTCATCTAGTTCTTTAATTGGTCTCATTAGTTCTTGGTCAGTAATATTTGTTTTTTTGCATCTCTTGGAAAACGAATCACTTGGGATTTTGCAGTTGTTATTGCATGTTAACATGGTGTTATAAAATCTGTTGTATTATTTCAGACCTTTCTGCACACTCTGTTTGCATATGTTGTATAATCCCCACTAGACATGTAACATGTCTGCTCTTATTGGGATGCTTTGTTGTATATTTTCTGCCGTGCCTGATACTACTAGGTGTTTTGTTCAAGGTAGCTGAAGACCGCGGCAAAATCTGAAAATATGCCTCAGAAATTCCCTGCTTGCAAGATAAGGATACCAAGGTTCACATTTGATTCTTTGCCGTTGGTCATCGTCCTTTACATCATCCCTAATTTCATGTAATGAACCATTCGCAGAAAGCTTGATAGCGAACCTCCTCAACAAAATGTATTAGATGGAGATGTAAGGGCGGTATAAGATAAATTTGAGAATCTGTCATGAAGCTGTGGATAGATATTCGATTGCTGAAGTTCTCTGTTATTGTAGGTCAATTTTGTTGGTCGTGACTTACTGCCTTTTTATGTTAAATTTGGAGCGGGCACCTTGGGATATTGAGGATTATTGGTCTTGCCAACCATTTGGCTGGAAGTTAAGTGGGAGAAAATACTTTTGCTTAGATATGCATGGACAATTTCATTCATTGTGAACCCTCTATGCTTTCATTCATTTTTCTATTTTGGACAATTTACCCCATAAAATTAGGAAAAGATTTCATACTACTGAAATTGGTCAAATTAAGTGTGGATGGGCAATGATACATGAATCAGCTCATTTTTTTTTTTTTTTTTGCATATTCTTAATGATTGATGTCAAATATTGAATTGAGAAGGAAGATTAGATTGGTGTAATAGGAGGATGCCATTCATATGGTTTAATTGAGGTCTTTATTAATTGTAGTTTTACTGTCCATAATGAAGGTTATATTGCATGGCGTTGATAATTGATACTTTAGAGAATAACTAAAGGTGCAAATTGAGCATTTTCGTGTTGCAATCTAGAAGTAGATGAATATATTTTGTCATAAAGGTTTTGAAACTGAAGAGAATAGATATACGAACGTGTAATAATGCACAATTTAGAGTACCACTTCAGTTTATTGTCTTTAGTGAAATATCCTGAATTTTGTTGGATTGAGTACGGGGCATGAGCGTACTAATGACCTGGTAATTTTTACTTCGACTTATCCCCCAATTCTGGACTCGAAGGGGACAAGGTTTAAGACACTTGGATACGGCAGTGGTTTTGCTGCCAACCTTTTTGACAAGAAATCTCCACTTATAAGTTCTCTCGGAAGCCTTTAGGGTAGGAACGCTTTGACCCTGCCTATGGTAGGAAGGGCTGCAGAGATCGACACGTGTTGGAGTTGAATGGAGTCCAAACGGAGACGTTAAGTTGTGACAGAGCGCGTGGAGAGAAAATATGCATGCACCGTCTGCGGATGCAACCAAAAAATCACACGGACTTCCGTACGATGTTGTAGGTTGGGCAAGGAAGGGTAATTGCAGGTTAGAACCAGAGGCATTTATGCATTTGCAAATGCACCAATTACCAATGGAAAAATGCTGCACATGCCTTCGACAAAAAATGTGCGTAAAGAAGGTACCGAAATTTTAACAAATAATAAATGTAAATCTCACACGTGTGGGGGATAATAATTTGGAAGAAGGAAAAGTGGAGCAGAGTTAGTATAACAAAATTAGTATAGTCGGGAAAGAAGGTACCGAAATTTTAACAAATAATAAATGTAAATCTCACACGTGTGGGGGATAATAATTTGGAAGAAGGAAAAGTGGAGCAGAGTTAGTATAACAAAATTAGTATAGTCGGGAATTTTTTTTTCCTCTGCAGATTGTTCACGAATATAAGAGTCAACCACTAAACAAAAACGTCATGCATATCTAATCTATAACTACATATAAGTTAAGGGCGTGTTTGGAAGTGAAGTTTTTGACCAAGTTTTTTAGCTACTAGTTTTTTAACAACTTTTGCTACAGGAACCCCAAAAAATTTATCAAAGTTTTTTACTTACACACTTCAAAATAATACACAAAAAACTTTCCCTTCAACTTTTCTTCTTTTTCCTCCCCTACCCAACCGGCCACCACCTCCACCACCGCTTCTGGCGCCGGTAACTATTCCGGCCAACTTTTGCCGGCCTTCCTCTTTTTTTTTTCTCTCCCTCCCCTCCCCCTTTGACCAATATGTTGGTTTCCAAAATCTCTTTTTTCTTTTTTTTTTCTTTCTCCCTCCCCCTTCCCCTCTTTCCCTCTGCCTTTCCCCGCCACTTTTCCCCTCCTGCAGCTTGGGGAGAAGGAAAATTGCAAAAAAAAAAAAAAAAATTATTCTCGGCTGTTGCTGCTTATTCTGCCGGCAAGATAAGGAGAGGAGAGGGAGATGGAACATTGGAAAAAAAAATCATTTCTGTTGCTGCAAAACTCATGTGCAAAACTCAGGTGGCGGCAGAGGGAGAGGGAGAGGGAGGGGTGGCGGGGGAGCTTTTGCAGGGGTGGGGGAGGGGGGTTGCGGGCAGAGGGGTGGGGGAGGGGGTGACGACGGGGCAGAGCGCGAAGGCGCATAGGGGGTGGCGGGGCAGAGGGGAGGAGAAGGGGAAAGGGAGGAGAGGGGTGGCGGGAGGTGGCATTGGTGGAGTTGCTGCTGGGGGTGGCGGAGGTAATGGGGAAGAGGGAGGGGGAAGGAAGAAGAAGAAGAGAGGAAAGAAAAGAAAAAGGAAAGAAAGAAAAAGAAAAAGAAAAAGAAAGAGAAAAAAAAAAGAGAAAGAAAAAAAAAGAAAAGGAAAAAAAAAGTTTTTCACAAACTTCTACAAAATTTTTCACCTTACAAAAATTTCTACAAAATTTTTTCAAAAACTTCTACAGTGCACTACAATAAAGGGCCTGTTTGGAAGTGAGTTTTTTGACCAAGTTTTTTACCTACTAGTTTTTTAACAACTTTTGCTACAGAAACCCCAAAAAACTTCTCAAAACTTTTTACCTACACACTTAAAAAATACACAAAAAACTTTCCCTTCAACTTTTCTTCTTTTTCCTCCCCCACCCAACCCACCACATCCTCCGCCGCCGGCCACCACTTCCACCACCACTTCTGACGCCGGTTGCTATTCAGGCGGCCAGTTCCTGCCATACACAAAGTTTTTTTTTTCTCTCCCTCCCCCCTCCCTCTTCCCCTCTGCCTCCCCCGCCCGCTTCCCCCTCCCCTTTCAGGCGGTTTTTAAATCCTTCATTTTCAAACACAAAAAATGAACATAAAATCCCAAGAACCGAACAAGCAAAATCATAGCCCAAAAAAGGCAAAAAAAGGGAAAAAAAAAAGTCCAAAATGGAGGAATTGGATATCAAATTCAACGTGATGGTTTCCTTATTCAACTGGATGCAGAAGAGCAAATCCTCCGCGACGAAGCGATCCAAGTTCCGCAAATTCCTCGATGCTTTCTGCCGGAAACCGAGGTACTATTTCAGTGCCGTCCGCTGGGTGGCGGGGAGATAGGGTCGCGCTGGGGAAAGGGCAGGGGGGTGGCAGGGGAGGGAGTCGCGCAGGGGAGGTGGCGGGAGAAGCTGGGGAAAGGGCAGGGGGTGGCGGGAGGAGAAGGGGAAAGGGAGGAGAGGGATGGCGGGCGTGAGTGTTGCTGGGAGGTAACGGGGAGGAAAGAAAGAAAGAAGAAGAAGAAAAAGGAAGAAGAAGAAGAAGAGAGGAAAGAAAAGAAAAAGGAAAGAAAGAAAAAGAAAAGAAAGAGAAAGAGAAAAAGAAAAGGAAAAAAAAGTTTTTCACTCTACAAAAACTTCTACAAAATTTTGCACCTTACAAAAACTTCTACAAAAAAAATTTTCACCTTACAAAAACTTCTACAAAATTTTTTCAAAAACTTCTACAGTGCACTACAGTAAAGTTTTAGACAAACTCCCAAAAAATTCAGACTCCAAACAGGCCCTAAATTTAGTTCATGTACAAAATGATCCCAAAATAATTAGCACACTACAATACCCTATTATTTTAACAACAAAAAATACTTTTTGGCAAAAGTCTCCAATATACATGATATATGTATGAGAGGTATTTTACCATATTTTAATCTCTTGTTTTCTCATATTGTATCTCATGTGTAATCATTGATGTTAATTTCAGGAAGAATATTTTTTATAATAAAACCAGTTCGAATGTAATTAACAAGTTGAGATTTTTTTGGAAAAATATTTGTGAAATATTTTGGAAGTTATATTTTATTTTCCCAAAAATAAAAGATTGCTATTTTGTTTACCAATTGTTGCCATTAACATTTCAGTTTGTAGACTAATTTTTATGAATGTAGAATTAGTTTAGTTAACAAAAATTGAAGTTGTGTTGGTTCGAGGACTGGCATGCTATTGTTGTTATTTTACATGTGAAAATATAACCTAAATAATGAAATAAATAATAGCTATTTAAAAAAAGGAATCAGGTGCTCAATTGATTGCATTCAAACTGTTACTGCATAATTGTTAAATTATATTCGTATTCATAAGCAATCAATATGCATCATATATTGACCAGGAGTAAATTACTGATTACTTAACAAATCGTATCTAAACACATGATGTGATATATATTGCATTTCGTCACCGTAATACTCATACCATTTGCCTTTCTTTCCATCTATGTTATAAAACTGCAAAATTCTCTTGATTATATTAGTGAAAATGCATAAAATCTTTTTACAAAAGTAGAATCAATTTATTTACAAAATATTAATACTTTTAGGAGAAGCAATGCATTGTAGGAATGGTTTACTAGTTATTAAGTAAACATAACTACTACATTAAAAAGTTCCAAAAAAAGTTGAGTAATTATACTTTATTTACGAGTGCTTTCGAATGGAAGTATTAGGGGATTAATTTCTTTGATTCAATAATTTTTAGAGATTGTAATTATGAAAAGAAGAAAGAATTTTTTGAGATTCTAACTATATTATTAATATATGTAATAAATTTGATATTTGTGCAAGTTTTCATGTCTTTTATTTTCGGCAACGAAATTTGTGCAAATATGGTAAAACATCCCTCATATGTATGTCATGGATATTTGAGACTTTGAATAACAAAAAGTGTTGTTGTTAAAATAACATTGTATCATAGTGCGCTAATTATTTTTGGACCGTTGTATACGTGAACTGAATTTAATTTAAATTATACAAAAGATTTGTATGTGCAAGTGATTTTCATTTAATTGTTGAATCTTTTTTTATGAACAATCTGCCAAGGAAAAAAGTCCAGATCATACTGATTTTATTATATTAAGTATTATACCAATTTTGTCAATTTGTTATTGTTGTACTATTTCTTACATTGTTTGGGCTTTAACTCTTATTAATTCTTGTGTCGCAGATGTAAATTTATTAAAATTTTATCATCTTAGTATATTCGTAGGTGTTAAAATATAAAAATTTTGATATATAAACAAGTGATATTCTATATATAAGTATGAAGATTTTTGTTATTGGTATTCAAACCTTCAAACTTTTTAAAAATAAAAAATTATTAAAAACTTATAATGTGACAAATGTTAATAATTTTTGTCCAAGGTTATGAACAGAGTGAAACTTCTTTTCATAGTATTTTAAAAAAATACAAAAAAATTTAATAAATATCTATAATCATTTATTATATAGGTATATTAGAGTACTTACTAAGTAAGGTACTTGCAGCCTTAATGACTAATAAAACCTGTTATCATTATTTAAAATAAACTTCATAATATTAGTTTGACAACAGTTTTTTATGTAAAACTGTACATGTATTGCAAAAATCTGTAAGTGTTAATCGTTAATAAAATTTACCATGTTACTACTAAGATTTAGTATCAATGAATAAAAACTTAATGTTAGTTGAAGTAAACTTACTCTCCAAAATAGTGTGAATTTACTGAAACCGACTAACAACCATTCGTAATTAAATTTGGTTGCTAAAAATAGTTTTCGTGATCGGTCAAAAATTGAGGGGCATGAAAATTTATTTTGATTGTTAACATGCAATGAAAAGGCGAACTACTAAGCGTAATAGGTGGTGTTAAACTAAGTCGGTCAACCCAAATTTGCAAGCTATTCAAACCAACAGTTGCAGTCAAATGAAATATTGGCCTTGTTATTGACCGTTGATATAGTTATGGTTACAATTCTAATTTTGATGCAATTTCTATATATTGAGAGATAGAAGTTAAGTTAAGGGAATTATACCGTGTTTGGGTAGAATAAAATTGTTCGTAAGTTGTTTAAACTTATAATAACAATTACAAGTTTAATAAAACTTGTATTTGACTTGTCAACAGGCTAGAAAATTGTGGGAGTTATGATAAAAGTTTTGTAGTGAATAATAATAAAACAGGTAAATGTATACTTCAAATAAAATAAAGAAGAAAAAATTTGTTAAAAATTATACTGCAGAAGTGATTTAGTGAATAACAAATTTTGAAGAAAGAAGAGGCGCAAAAAGAAGCGCCACAACTGATTTGGAAAACAAAGGCCGAAATAAAGCTATTGGCCTCTGGGTTCTGTAACTTGTTTACTGTCAGTCTAACCCCAAAACACGACTGAACCGGGAAAAAAATTGTGTATCGCTTCACCGTCATTTGTTGTGAATCTCCAACAAAGTCAGCCGAGGTACAGTAACACTCCGGTGTTGAAAATCAATTGTCTTCTTCAACTGTGCAACAAAGGTTCGTTGGTTCTTTCTCGTATTTTCCGGAGATTTGCTTTGTAATTAATTTTGCGAAAATGTGAATGTAAGCGGTGTGCAGAGAACGTGGTATTGGAAGTGTATCATATTCCCCTCTCCGTCGCGGGTTCTTTGGAGGGAAGACAACAGTGGAGAGTATCAATTCAGAAAGCGTATTGGTATGTCTTTATGTTGGGATTCCCTTTATGTTTGGATATGTTCTGTGTCGGATCTCATCATGAAAACGCAAGAACAAGACTGTAAGGATGAACCTGTCTGTTCTGTAACCTACATTGATTGTCAGAGAGGGAATCTTTACCCCATTTTGAGGGGATTATCATGTAATGACATTTATCTACAATAACATTGTATATATCAGAAAATTGTTCGTTACCTATGATGGCATTGAATGATTACCTTTATTCCTTATTTTAGATTTGTAAGCTCATTTGCCATCATTCAGTTGTATGATTCAATCCCCTCTTTGTCACGGGTTCTTTGGAGGGAAGGCAGCAGTGGAGAGTGTCAGTTCAGAAAGCGTATTCGTAAGTCTTTATTTTCTCATATATTGTGTGTTAGATCTCATCTTGCAAATGCAAGACCAAGACTGTAAGGATGAACCTCTGTTTTCTTTAACCTACATTGATTGTCAGTGAGGGAATTTTTGGGCCATTTTGAGGGAATTATCATGTAATGACATTTATCTTCAATAACATTGTGTGGATTAGATAATGTTCGTAACCTATGATGGCACTGAATGATTACCTATATTACTTATTTTAGGTTTGTAAGCTCATTTTGCATCATTCATTCGTGGGGTTTAATTCCAATGTTTGGTGGAGAGAATTTAGAAAGGAACAAAGTTCATTATGCCTGCATAGCACAATTAGCAATAAAACATGGCTGCACCCCCTCACATGATGGCTGTATTTATTGGTTTGTTAGTTGGCTGACGAGGTAGAACAAACATATTCAACCGCCAAATGATTTGACTATTAAATTCTTGTGATAATTGACATACCATGTACTTTGGGACGATTATCAGTTTGTATATTTTATAGAAACATAGCCACTATTAATGAAGCTGAAATAGCAGTAGATTTCTTCATATACTCTGTAGGCGAAGAAATAATAATGTTTGCATATTCACACAAAGATTCAGCTACGTGACAGCCTCGGTTCTGTGGTTGACCTTGCTGGCTTCACCCAGAAGTATATAGTAGTAGCGAGGGCTGATATGTTTTTCTAGTACCAAAGATTGAATAGTACTTGTAGTTTCCATGCTCGAAATTTGAAACTATGTTAGTTAAGGGCTGCTGCATAAGCGTGGTATTATAACTTGTTAAGACCATGTTCGGTATGAGCATAGGCAGCCGGGCAACTGCTTTGAAAGTTCGCCTTACGTGCCTGGGAGTGATTGGGTTTTGAATGTTGTAGGGGAAAATGCCATGGAATGTTCCAGATAAATTTTGGAGAGAATTGCCACATGGTATACAGTATGTTTGAATGGTAGATAACGTCTGGGTTACGAATGCAAATGGTGGAAGGAGAACCATCAAGCAGCCGGTATATTGCCACGCATGCCAAAGTTGAAGACAGTGCTAACAGATTAAAAATTAAAAATTCAACAACGTATTGCAGAATAGAAGGGATAACAGAGCAGGGGGCTGTAGGGAAGCATGTTGGTGAAGATGTGGGAAATCAAAACACTGCATTTGAAGGTATTGATGATATAGATGTAGGTAGCATGGAGTTTGAAAGTACTGAAGAGGCAGAATCATTCTATATGATGTACGCAAGAGCAATCGATTTTGGGGTGCGAAAAAGGTGAAAGAAAAAAGGTAAGAAAGGGATTGTCCGAATCAGGTCATGACTTTATAATAAGGAAGGCGAAAGACATAAAAAGCACCTGAACAAAGGCGATCGAATAAGAGAACCAAAGGCAGTAACAAGAGTGAACTGTGAAACACGTTTGAAGATTCGATTAGATGAGGCGAAAGAGAAGTACGTTGTTGTAGAATTTGTTAGTGCACATTGCCATCGTTTGTGCAGCTCTGAAAGTGTGAGTTTCATGAGGTCTCATAGAAAGGTTGGGAAGTCGGACCTACAGGAGGCAGTAGTTATGCAACAAGCAGGCATAAGAACAAGTCACATTATGAGACTACTAGCTGTACAGGCTAGAGGATACCACAACTTGGGATTCCATGTAACTGTTATGTACAATGCGCTAAATCGGCAGAGACAGCTAGCAGTTGGTCATGGGGACAGCGATTCGGCAATTGCATTCTTGTCAGGCAAGCAATGAGGTGATCCCAATTTATTTTTTAAATATTCAGTAGATGGCCATGGCCGTCTCAATCGTCTGCTTTGGGCTAATTCAATGTGTAGAGATGACTATGGATGTTTTGGTGATGTGCTAGTGTTCGACAGCACGTATAATACGAACCAGTACAAATTTTCATTGGTTGTGCTGTGTGGGGTTAACAATTACTACTCCATATGTATTTTTGTCTGTGCTTTGATCGTTCGTGAAGGAGATGAGAGATACGATTGGGTTATAAGTACATTCTTAGAAACAATGCATGGGAGGAAACCGCTAACAGTTGTGACTGATGGGGACAAGTCAATGCGAAAGTGCATTAAAAATTTAATACTGACAGCTAAGCATAGACTTTGCAGCTTCCATTTGGAAATGAATACAGCCACAAATGTAAGGGAGAAAGAGTTTCTGGAGGCATTCAAGACCTGCATGTTTATGAATTGTACAGTAGACAAGTTTGAAACGATGTGGGCAGAGGTCGTGAGACGTTTTGGGATTGAAGATAACGAATGGGTTAACAAGATGTACCGGAAGAGGGAGATGTGGGCTATGGCTTTTCTCAGAGGCAACTTTTTTGGCGGAGTGCGGAGTACTCAACGGTGTGAGAAAAAACATCAAGTTTTAAAATTACATCTCACCCCGAAATTGAAGTTTTTTGAGTACCTTCAAACATATGACTTGGTCGTGGCCCGTTTGCAACATGAGGAGAGGCGTCAAAGGGCTGTGACAGAGTACAGTACCCTTGTGCTAGCGACACATTTACATGCGGTGAAAAAACATGTTGGTGAAGTATTTACGAGGTCCACATTTGTTGTGGTACGGAAGGAAATGAAGAAGCAGAGGCTATTTTGTAGGATTAATGACACAAATGATGGAATCACCGTTGTCCACTTCATGAAGCATCTGTACAATTACTCGTATTATACTGTGGCCTATAACAAGTCCACGGGACATATGAAATGCTCCTGCCTGAAAATAGAAACACATGGACTGCCCTGTTGTCATATGTTTCGTACAATGCTATTTGAGAAACTGAAAAGGATCTCTCCAAACTGCATCATGAAGAGGTGGACTTGGCAGGCAAAGGAAGGGGTAATAAGTAATGAGGCGGCCCAAACAACCAGCACGCACTTTACAGAGATGTCCAGATATTCTACACTAGTTTCGGCCGCTAATGATGTATGTAGGCATGCATGCAAGACGGCCAACGGATTCACAAATGCATTGGAACTGTTCCAGAACGAGTCAGTTCGAGCTAAAGAGCTGCAATTGAAGCGGCACAGAGGTAAGGGTTGTGCAGCTGTCCAGGGGAGCAATGAAACTGTGGGTGAAAGGAATTGGGTTAAGGACCCCGAAATGATTGCATCACGAGGCCTGCGTCGAGGGAAACCGAGGCAGGCAACAATATCAGTGAGGTATTATTGGATTATCACATGTATAATGCACTTCGGCACACATTCGAACTGTGTGTACATAAATAGGCATACATAACATATGTTACTTGTTATGGAATAGAAAAGGGTGAGTGTGGAGTTTAGTCCCATTTGTTTTATTACTAATGCAAGGGAAGAGAAAGTGGGCCAAACACGTCATCAAAGCGCAGAGCCACAGACAACGATGTTCATCATGCGAATAGTAGTTGCACTGCTCAATCACAACAAAGCAATACGGGGACGACATCCGATGGCCGAATCAGTGTGCCTAAAAAACAAGGGCAACAGGGACCAATAGAGCCCGTTGTTAGGCGTCAGGTTAGAATGGATATTATCTGCAATATATCGACTATGGTCTGAATACATCCCTCGCTACCTATCTTGCTAAGTTCTTCGTACACAAAATCCATGTTCACACCCCCTCTAAGTAATACGTACATCTTCTCATCGAATGCTAATATAGTTCACAAGGTGTTGGCTTATTCTGTTAATCTTTGAAGTAAACTACTGCAATGAACATAATATCACGAAAATTGGTGTTACGCATAATTTGTATAGGTTTGTGGCACTAAATCATAGCGGTAAGGTATTTGAAGGACAGACATTGTGTCCTTTAAATATTAGCCTAAAACAGGTATACCCCTATGTGAGTGCGTGTGCTTATATGGCCCCTGCAACTGGTTGCAGGACATGGATGTGGCAGGAGCAAGTGGCGTAGGGCAAAGGAAAAAAAAGGAATGGGTAATTGCTATAGTTATGTACATAATGAGTCGTTCGTGTCGTATGTCAAGGCATTTTTGAACTGACTACCATTATTTTAATTGGATTAGGGTGGACCGGACAGTGTGGATGGTTTTTTCGGATACATACTGAATTCACCACGCCCTTCCTCGTATCAGGTATTCATCAACATTATTAAGTTTTTTGCTTTTGGCGCATGCAGTGGACAACAAAAGCAATCTGTAATTGTGTTCGATACGAGGTAATTTACATCTGAAGTGGCCATGTTGGGCAGGTTGATCAACCACCAGCTGTACTTGCTGATACCTTTGTAGCAGCATCAACCGACATTGCTGATTGATGAAGCATAGACTGTGGGTAGAGTGAATTGGCACTTGCTTTTGTGTGACCCTGCATAGTAAACTACTATTTTGCGGTGGAAAAATAGGTCGCTTGTTGTGTAGTGAGGTCCGAACTCGATTGTACTTGTGTACTATTGTTTCTGCTGGGTCATATGTAATGTTCGAAGTGGAACTATATTGTTCCTACATTTACAATTGGTTGCTAAGAATTCATGTGGTTTGTACTCTGGCTTCATCAAATTATTGTTGAACGGGATACATGTTCAAGTGTAACATTCATGTGTGACCTAAAAATTTTTCAGTTTGATTTGTTTTGACAACTCAGTCACTATGCAATTGCCATCTGCATTCACACCGCAATTGGTTGCATATAAGCGAAACAAGTGACTACTGGTTTGTTTAGAAGGCCTGTGTTGCCCAAGTTTAACTGACAAGGGGTAATTAACGAAATTTGAGGAAGGGGTGGTGGAACCGCCAGTGGGAAGTAAACTACAGTGACGTAAACAGAGGCACGCCTAAACTCGGTTGCAATTGCCAAGTTCTGCACCTGGTCTCCCCAATTTGGTATGTGTCAGCAATACGTTCAACGAGTTGTGCAGATACGGACTGAACCCATAAGATCGGGTTTTATGTGTATTTGTCCATGGGAAGAAATTGTACACCACACAAACTAACTTACTGACTTCATATTTGAAATAAACTTGAGTTTAGAAAAATAATAGTCGTGGCCCACAAATGTAGTTTGGCAATTGGACTATAACCGTAAAAGTGCCACTCTACCTTAATAAGGCAAGACAGATGTTTAGGTTATTTCGACAGATTTGAGGAATGGAATATTTACAAAGCAGGGGAAAAGCACTGAAATTGAACCCAATAGTCAATTGCCCAAACCTTTCGCTGGGCCTGTGCTACCAACAAACAAAAAAGTATCTGCCGCTAACTTTCAACCATTTTCAACTTTACCGTGTCTGCTTCTCACCAGACAAAAAGTTACGGAAGTAAGAAGGCGCAGTAAAATAGTTTTACCTACACGATTAATGCATGTTTTTATTGTGCTTAAGCCGGACAACTGTGCTTGCTGTAAATTCCCCTCATTTATGGTGTTCAGCATTGATAATTGTACGCATTTCAACAGCATCAACAAAAGTATATACACCGATTATGGTAAGCATATGCACATGGGTGAAAATATACAAGTAAGTATTCGAAAAAGTTGAAATACTTGCATGCTTCGACGTCGCCAAGATAGCAATGACTGGTGCACAACCAGACGACCGCTGCAACCAAAATTCCACTGTTGTGTGTCCGGTTTCAGGGATGAAGTGAAGCACGGTGTAAATGGACTGCACAGTCCTGCTCACACAACCTTGCCCAACTTAGGTTTATGCTTTTTTTTCAACTAACTGGTCCCCTACCACACGTTTTTGACAGGGACGGTGTGGGACCATGCTAGTTGTGATAGCTTTTCCAGCCATTTCCATAGCTTCATTTTCCCTCCATTTACTGTAAAGGTTTTCCCTCCTTTCTCTTGCTCCGTGTCTTTTCTTTGTACCAATTATTTTGTGACCCCACTTCTTCCCAATGGCGTCTGAAGTAAGCTTCAACTTTGGTATTGCATTATTGAACTCCGACTTGCACCATGGATCCGATGACAAAATGTAACTAAATTTAATTTATATTTAGTTATAAATTACATATGCATGTCATTTTTGTTTAGTGGTTGAATCTTATATTCGTGAACTATCTGCAGACGAAAAAAAAATTCCAGACTATACTAATTTTGTTATACTAACTCTGTTATTCTTATTATTGTATTAATTGTTACGCTATTTCTCTCATTTTGTTTGGTCTATATTAATACAAGTTTAATTCTTATTATGTCTCGTGTCCCAGAAAATACATATATTAAAACTTCATTGTCTTATTATATTCATAGGTTTTAAATTATAGAAATTATATAGATAAGTGATATTCCATACATAAGTAGGAACATGTGTTGTTATTATTATCCAAACTTTTAAACTTTTCAAAAATTAGTCAAATGTATAATACGACAAAATTTTATTATTTTATAAGGTTTTGTCAAAGGTCAAAATATTTTAAAATAAATTGACCCAAAAATTTTTTAAATTATACATACGATCAAGTATGTATACAAGTATATTAAGAGTATTTACTAAGTAAGGTACTTAGTTTTAATCATTAATAAAATATTTTATTGTTATTTCAAATAACAATGAAAGATGGGCTTGGTATAAGTTTTTTAAGCAGAATAGAATATTTGTGCCATAAATTAGCATGTTTTGGTCATTAATCAAATTTACTATGTTATAAGTAAAAATCACTATTTATGTATAAAAACATACTATTACTTGAAATAAACTTACTCCCTCAAAAGTATATTTGGGATATAAAATAGTAATTTATCTCTTTAAAAAGTATGTTTCATATTACTTTCAATTTACCTTTTGGATTGCAAAAGTTACTAAGTTATTACGTTAACTTACTATTTTAGATGAGAAACTTACTTCCTTATTTTTACCTATTATCCTATTCAAGTGGATAAATCCAACAGGTAATCAAATGGTTGCTAAAATTATTATAACCTATTATATCATGTCTAAAACTGTTTTTTTACCATAACGATAGTTACTACACCATTTTCCCGGATGCTTAAGCTGAACACTTGGGTACTAAATTTATATATGTATATAAATATAATGAGGGCTCGAATCCTTTTGTGTTTCGAGTTGCCGCGGAACTACAACTCTGCTCCACTTTTCCTTCTTCCAAATTATTATCCCCCACACGTGTGAGATTTACATTTATTATTTGTTAAAATTTCCGTACCTTCTTTAAGCACATTTTTTGTCGAAGGCATTTGCAGCATTTTTCCGTTGGTAATGGGTACATTTGCAAATGCATAAATGCCTCTGGTTCTAACTTGCAATTACCCTTCTTGGCCCAACCTACAACATCGTACGGAAGTCCGTGTGAGTTTTTGGTTGCATCCGCAGACGGTGCATGCATCTTTCCTCTCCACGCGCTCTGCCACAACTTAACGTCTCCATTTGGACTCCATTCAACTCCAATACGTGTCGATCTCTGCAGCCCTTCCTACCATAAGCACGGTCAAAGCGTTTCTACCATAAAGGTTTCCATTTCTCAACCATAGATTTGTACTCCAATAATTTGTTCACCATGTATATACATGCTCAAATGGTTCAAACATTTTAGCCATCTTTACATCAACTTTGTGTTTCTTTATGATGCTTTTGGTATTCTGTTTCCCTAAACTCATTGGCTCACAGTAGTGGCTGAACCAGGACCTTGAGGCCCGCGGGGTAGGTTTGGAGGAGGCAAAGTTTGTGAAGTTTTTTGTTAAAAAATTGTCAATTACATAAAAAAAATTCTACCATGCAATATTTATTGAATTTTAATATAAAATAATGAAACAATTACGACATAAATAATAAAATTCATAATTGTCCTCGATAAATACTCATGCTTCAGAAACGTTGAATTATTGCTTCATTGTCAATTCTATTAAAAATATCTCTCTCAATGTATCTCATCAAGCAGTCATTCATTCATCCAATGATCTTCCATTTGATTGCGTAGCCTATTCTTCACAATCTTCATAGTAGAAAATGTTCTTTTTACAATAGCAATAGTAGTAGTTTCAGAGAATTGTTGTTTTAATAGAGATGTTTTAGGAGATTTTCTTCTTTCAGACGTGGAGATATGTTGGAAGATGTTCTAATAAATTGCGACTTGTGTGTTTCTTAACATTTTAACTAAAGTCAATTTCCTAAAAGTTTTAAAAATTTGAAATATGTTCCTATAAGTTTAAAGTGAATTTAATTATTTTAATTCTTTCCAATAAATTAGAAACAAATTCACGTTCCTTTATTTCATATTTTCAATATTTAGTTGTTTCTTTACTTTTTGCTAAAAAACTAAAACGGAATTCATGTATCATAGATACTTATTCTTTAGTTATTCTATAATTTTTTTTCTAGAAATTAGGAATTGAAGACTTTCCATGCATGGAAACTTGAGAGATATTGTTAAATGTACATGTTTATTATTTACTTATTCCATAAACGTCTCCTAGTTTCAAGGAATACATACAGCAGAGAAGATATATACACGTACAAGTATAAAAACATGGCTTCTTCAACATTGTCTTTCTTCTAATAAGTGCTGGTGGGCTATAATACTTTTGCTTCACCAGTTTGCCCCCTTTATTTCGTAGGGAGGGGAGGGAATAGTAAAACTTACACAAAATTATGCACTATATGAAGGGAATTGCCCCCTCAACAAAGAGTAGCTCTGCCCTTGGTTCACAGTGAGGGAAAAGTTGGCGAAGCCGGATGACCGAATTCAAGTTAATTTTTTTGTTGTCAGTGTACTTCTCATTATGTTTGTTAATTACTAATAGCCATATATTAATGAGTAAATATTAGGTATACTGACGGTGTATACACTATTATCGTTGGTTCATGATATATATGTAAAAATTAAATTTTAAATCTAAATTTTGATTAATTGTCATTCATCCAACACTGACAGTGTATACACTATCAATGTAGCAAAGATTAATCCTATATTAATATCTAAAGTCACTGATCCTTCCATTCTCTTTTAATTATTTAGCCAACTTAGTTATTGCACCATGCTCCCCAAGCTGTTGTCGAGAACTATCCATATGCCAATGAAGAAATATCCGTGTGCTAAAAATTTTAAGCACAAGGATTTCAAACTTTTTTTTTTCAGCATATAGCAATATACTAATTTCCGGAATTAGACTTTTTAGATAGACATAGATATTGAAATGGAAGATCATTGGAAGCACAAATTGTTGAAAAATAAAACCCAGCCAACCAGTTTGAACTCTTGAATCACAATCCAACCACAGTATCGGTTCAATTTTATTTCAAACCCAAATAATTTTAAAAAACCTGTAAAATTCAGTTAAAAACTAGTGAGGACGTAA